CGTAGACATCAAAGTAGAGGATCATGATGATGACAAAGTGAAGCAGGCAGAGCAGCAACACGGCCTTGCAAATCCTTTCCAGGGTCACCCCCAAGAGCAGCCTGGTCATCTTCTGGGCACGGGCAGGCGGACATGTGCGCTCAGGAGGGCAGGGGGGCGGCTCAAGCCACGGTCACGATCCTGCCGAGACACCCCACACTCAGGACACTGCCAGCCATGTCCCCACTCCGCCTGCTCAGCACCTGTTTGTGCCACCCAATCCCAGCCCTAACGACACAGTGCAGCACGAGCAGTTCAGGCCTGACAGGGAGGTGATGGGCTCACGGGTCTACATGCCCCGTGGGGATGCTGCACTCTGGCACCCTGCTCTGAAAGCACAGCTGCGAACACACCAGAAGCACTAGGTGCCAAACACGAGCTACGGACAGCTACAGGGTCTGTGCAACAAAGCCGGCAGTGACAGAGACCCCAGCTCCTTCCGATTCGTGGCCAGATCAGACTCTGCTGCACCCACAACTGCTCCTACCCATGTCCACCCTGCCCTCTTTGCCTTAGCACATCCACAGCACCCATCTCCTCCCCACCAGGCAGACGAGCCATGCCCCACGGCAGCTCTCAGGGAAGGATCCCTCGGCCGTGCACAGGCAGCTGTGTGCAAGGAGGGCACGCGCATGGCCCCTCGCACGAAGGGCACCACATCTGCAAGTGGTGTCCTAAGCCTTTATGCCTTTATGGCACCAGGCGCCCTAAGCTTTACAATGCTGCTAATTTATTATTGGATTTCTCACCCTAAAGGCCCTTTAATAGCACTACGCTCTCCGCCTGGGACGCCTTAACATCTCCCTCAAGAGCCCTACATGCAAAATATTGTATTTTCATCCGATCTCAGAAAGACTCAAGCCTCTTGGGGCTGAATTTCAGCCTCAACTGAGCCTGTAGCAAAGCCTTCCCCCCCCCCAGCTCAGTCTGACTCCTCCAGCAGGAAAAAGGCAGGAGTGACTCAGGGCAAGCAGCGCGGGGCCAGCATCATGCCAGGCAGCATTACCACCCTCCTGCCCCTCGCGGCCGCAGCAGGTCCCCAGCCCTGGGGCTTCCCCAATTCCAGGGCCAAGGCCAGGCCAGCCCCGCTCCCAGGACCCGTCGGGGTCTGTGGTCGCCCAGCGTGAGATGGGGATACCCCCAGGGGCCTTGCAAAGAACCCCCGCAGAGGCCAGGCCCTTGGAAAAGGCTGCGCTCCAATATACGGGCAGTCT